AAAAAATCACTAGTGGTAGCCTTTGGATCTTAGGGATCTAGGTAGTGGTAGAATCTCTCAAGGTTGAAAAATAGATTTCTCTCTTCAAAATACACTCTCAAGGCTTGACGTAGATGTGGGAAAGGCACTCCCTATTTATAGGTCCGGAATAAGGATAGTTTTAATAAATAAGAAAACTAAAATTCGCGAATGACCACTCGATTGGTGGAAGGGCAGTTGTCAATAGAATGAAAACTGCATTTTAAACACGATTAAGGCAAGCACCGCTCTAGCGACCATGGAGNGTTGTCAATAGAATGAAAACTGCATTTTAAACACGATTAAGGCAAGCACCGCTCTAGCGACCATGGAGACCGCTTGAGCGAGCTCTGTGCTATCTTCTATGATCTTTTTCCCATTTCTATTCAAAAATTTAATCCATGTGCTTAAAATGTACACTGCATTTCATTCTCTACTTCATTCTATTTCCCCATCAATTCCATTTCCACTTAAAAGGATTACTTGGTGTATACCAAAGGCAAAATTAGTTACTAATGCATAGCTATAATTTCAATGAAGGGAATTATATGATTATAGATAAAGCCAATGAACGTGGCTATACTATGTGGAATCAAATATATTCCTCAACTCTACTATGAGTTTTAGCATTAGCAGTAACAAGACTGAAACCCATACCTTGGGCAAAGTTTTTAAATNATAAAGCCAATGAACGTGGCTATACTATGTGGAATCAAATATATTCCTCAACTCTACTATGAGTTTTAGCATTAGCAGTAACAAGACTGAAACCCATACCTTGGGCAAAGTTTTTAAATAAGCATTCATTTAGAATCTCCATCGCAGCAAACAAATTGCTAGCTAATGTTGTCAGGCCGCCTCCAGTTTTCCGGTTGGTTCAGTCCCTGCAGTTCTACAACTTGCTTTGCATCCTTCGACAAATCTTTTGTAGGAAGTTAAATGCAAGGGACCCATCACTTCTCCGCGCCCTCTGCCTAATCGAATCTTTCTCGCTATACATGCCCACGATACTCATCACAATCTTTCTCGCTATCTTCATTAGAACCTTAACAAGGAGAAGGATACTACAATAACAATGCAGCCTAGTTCGTTATATACTTTGAGGACAATAAATTCAGTGCAATCCAACTCCCAAAGCACCTTGTGAACTTCTATCTAATGGTGATATAAAGTGTTAACCTCGGGTCGGGTGGGTTTCCTAAAGACACAAGAAGGTGATTGATAATAATACCTATGAACCACATTCCAACCGCCAGAAACATTGGTGTGAAGCTAGTTAGGGATAGATCTGAGCATGTTTAAAGTTTACAAGCAATTTTATCACTTAGAGAAGCTGTGAAAGTTAATAGCTTACATTGACAGGTTAAAACAGAAGTGAAAAAAAAAGTGANAGAGAAGCTGTGAAAGTTAATAGCTTACATTGACAGGTTAAAACAGAAGTGAAAAAAAAAAGTGACANAAGTTTACAAGCAATTTTATCACTTAGAGAAGCTGTGAAAGTTAATAGCTTACATTGACAGGTTAAAACAGAAGTGAAAAAAAAAGTGAAACTAATCAAGTTATATTGGGTGTGAACAGACTATAAAAATTCTCAAACGAATTCTACATTTCCATGCTCCAAACAAGAACCAAAATTTTTACCAAGGTCAAGATTCACTACAAGTTGTGCAAATCATATAATTGCACTCTCGACATTCTAATCCCCAATTGTATTGGAAAGAAAGAGTAACCACACTTATGACACATGAGCTTCTAATTCTTCTTTTCAAGAAAAGTAAGGGTATGGGTGATCTTCAACTTGAACGGTGCCTCCAAACTTGATGCTCATATTGAGATTCTCAATGTATATAGAATGAAAAGACTAATCACCATCACGACAATGATAAATCCTGAACTTTGAATTTATTTTATCCTTCCAATATTCTCAGTGAAATTCATCTAAATAATTACTATAAGGAGAATAGCTCAAGGTAAGAGGGTTGTGTACAAACCAAGAATCTTGGGTGTGTCTTAAAAGATTGCTTAAAGCCTAGACAGTTCATTGAGGTGAGTGCATCCAAGTGAAACTATTTAAGACTTCAGTGAGTGAATTTGGATGAGATTGACAAGGAAGAAAGTGTCTGACTTACATCCTTGTAATTGAATTTGAGTTTAGTGAATTAGGTTAACTGAACTAAGATCAGTTCAGTGGCTTTTTTTGAGAGTATTTCCACGTAAAATTACTTGTCTTGTGGATGATCTCTTTATTGCTTTAATTTTTATACGCACATGCAATTGCACACCCACACATATGTTGTGTTTGATGGAATGACTCTTCGATTGATATATCTTGCATATTCATCAAATTAGTTGTGGATTGGTAGTTGACGTNATCAGTTCAGTGGCTTTTTTTGAGAGTATTTCCACGTAAAATTACTTGTCTTGTGGATGATCTCTTTATTGCTTTAATTTTTATACGCACATGCAATTGCACACCCACACATATGTTGTGCTTGATGGAATGACTCTTCGATTGATATATCTTGCATATTCATCAAATTGGTTGTGGATTGGTAGTTGACATATTAGAAGGTTAGATTGTTGGGCGGGTTGTTCTTGTTGAAGAAAAAGGGGTTCGAAGGCTTTGATTGACCAATTGACTAATTAATTTAGGTTTCGTTTGGTAACCTTGTGTTCTTTTTTTTTTTTTTTTCATTTTATGACTTAAAAAAAAAACCAAAAAAGCATTTGCGAATGTTTTTATTTTTTTTTAACTGCACCGTTTTGAAAACAAAGCTAAAATATGGAAACATCCAAAATAATGTTTTTGAAAACATCCAAAAAAAAAAAAAACACGGTTCAAAATGTTTCATTTAATAAGATCCTGACTTCGATCCTCCTTAGCAACAAAAAGTTAATTTTCTTGTTTTAATATAAAAAGCCCCTCTCTCTTCACTTTTTTTTTTCAGATCTCTCTCTCTCTCTCTCNGTTTTTGAAAACATCCAAAAAAAAAAAAAACACGGTTCAAAATGTTTCATTTAATAAGATCCTGACTTCGATCCTCCTTAGCAACAAAAAGTTAATTTTCTTGTTTTAATATAAAAAGCCCCTCTCTCTTCACTTTTTTTTTTCAAATCTCTCTCTCTCTCGCCCTTCTTTGATGGGTTTTGTTGAGGAGTTGCAGGGTTGGGTTTCGGGGGTAGTGGTGGTGTTGGGTGGTGGTGGGTTACGGGGATTGGTTGTAGGTTTTCTGAAGAGTTTCAGGGGTAGTGGGTTTCAGTGGTGGGGGTGTAGTTGGGTTTCTGTAGTTGTAGTGGGTTTCAGTGGTTGTGGTAATGGATTTCAATGGTGGGGGTGGGTTGTGGGTTGTGGGTTTCGGTGGTGGGTTTCAATGGTGATGTTGGGTGGTGGGATTTGGGGTTGGGTAGTGGTTTTGGGTGGTCAGTTGGGTTGGTTGGTGGAGTTTGGGTGGTAAATTTTTGTTATAATACCAAACAGGTTTTTTATTCTTGTTTTCACCATTTTTTTAAATATAAATGACTATCAAATATGTTTTATATTTTTAATTTTTATCACCAAAAAAACAAAAATTAGTTTTTTTTTAATAAAAAAAATATAAAAACGAAAATATTACCAAACGCACTCTAGTAATTGTGGTTAACAGGTTCAAATTTGGTGTTTGTTCAATTGGGATGTTAAATTAATTTATTCACCCCTCTCTAGGTCGTGTCTGTGATTTTGCGTGTATAATTGTAGGGAAAGATCTTTAACACTTCTCTATTTTCAATTGGTGTCAGGGCGTGGTTACCCTTGAATTGCATATAGCCACATTGTAGGCATATATTTTTATTTCTTACTTCTTGACCTAGTTGTTTAATGAATTGAAATTTATTGTGACTACCAGAACCAATGGATTCTCAAAAAGGAAAGAAGTTCAATTTCAAGGTCACCTTTCGATAGGTCGAATCATACACATTGAAAGGCTCAAATGAGAATTTTTCTTAAATCAATTAACAAACAAGTGTGATTGTTGGAATAAGAGGGTTGGAATGCTCCCTACCGTAATGACTACCGAATGTGATGATTCAATTATCAGACCAAAACCCCTGGAGCCTGTTTGGTATGTTTTTTTGGAGGGGTTTAGATTGGATTGTTCAAACCCGAGTTTGACCCAAAAATGAGATTCAAAGATGGGATTCAACATTTAATGTTGTTCATACCCATGTTTGGTATACGCAGGGATATATGACTCTTATAATAATATATTTGTATATAAATGACTATTGTACTCCTTAACTAATTTGTATATATGAGATATATATAATATATAGGGGTATAAATATCATTTGCTTATTAAACCCTCAAACCCACCCCCCTTGGATTTCATTAAACCCAAGTATGTGGACTTCGTGACTGGGCCGAGTTTAAAATTCTATTCATACTTCATGGTTGCCAAACATGAGTTTAAAGGGGTTTACTCCCAAACCCATGTTTTTAAACCCACATACCAAACAACCCCCCAAAGACTTCGACCAAAATCGAATGAGTCCGCCAAATGACTCAAGTCCATGGAGTCTGGTTTTCTTTCTACAAATTCACGTCTACCAGGCAAATTATAATGTCTCCCTAAACTGTTATTCTCATTCCACTTTGTTCACTTTATTATTGCTTTTCTCACATTACACCTCACCAATTTGAATTAGTTTCATACTCCACCGCATACCTATTACAAAGGCCACCACAAGTTTTAGATTCTAACACGTCGAGAGCCAATTAAAATTAAAAAGACAGCTCACTGAACCATTAACTGCGTCAATGTGAGACACACAAAATAGGATTTCCAGAGTGAAAACATCACTTGTGGAATTTCAGACATTTGCATATTGTACAAATCGTGAAATACACAGAACTACATTACAGTTGCAGGGATACAAAGCTCTATTTGACTAGACGGTCAGGACTCGATAGTATCCCTCAATGTTTCGTCCGTCTGTCATCACTTTCACTTCCTCTTTCGTTTCTTCCGTCTATCATCACTTACTTTTTCTTCAGAGCTTGATGACCCGGATTCCGACTCTGAACTAGATGCATCTGAATCAGAAGAACCAGAACTACCAGATTCGTCATCTGACTCAGAAACAGGCTTTTGTTGTTGCATGATAAGGCGTGGCATATTTTTTAGATACTCTCTCAAGTTTTCTGTAATGCCACCAAGCCCAATAGAAGTGAAAAAGTTAATGGCAAACCGAGTGTTTTTGGGATTATCCTTCGGAAAAATTGATTCAAATGAATCTTGCATTGCAGGATCATTTAGACGCTCATTAAGCAGGCGAATCCCTAGGTGCTCTGACAATTCCTGCACCAGAAAGCATACAAAGTTGTAAGTTAACAGCTCATGGAGAACAGGGGATGATAATTGACATAAAAAGAAAAGCCTCGCGAGGTTACTTTATACATGGATGGGCAAAATTACAAACAAGGAACGCATCGTAAAAGCATCCCCCAATAAAAGAGGGGGGAGAGAGAGAGAGAAGCGCTCTACTATGATAACATGAAGGAAAAAGATGTGCAGCAATTGCAATGGCAATGACTCATNGGAACGCATCGTAAAAGCATCCCCCAATAAAAGAGGGGGGAGAGAGAGAGAGAAGCACTCTACTATGATAACATGAAGGAAAAAGATGTGCAGCAATAGCAATGGCAATGACTCGTCTCTTTAAAGGTATAACCCAACCAGCAGCCATTATAAAGAGCTTCTTCGGCCAAATCCATGAATAAAGCTCAAGCAAAAAAAAAATCCATGAACAAGGCTCATGTGCAACTCCTATCTTTTGCAATTCAAGGACAACCAAGGACAAAAATTTTGCACTGGATAGATATATGGAGGTGTTAGGAGTTGTAGTGTTCACGTTTCTTTTATATGTTGTAATAAGCGTACCCATGTGCGGTATACTCATCTTTTATGATCACTGCATACATATAAATGGCTGAGATTGAGAGGTAGGTTAAATAATGTTCCACGACAGTGTGAATGTGGTCTGAGAATGAAGTCTCTGGTAGATGGACAGTGCTAATGGCGCTTTAAACCATGCATATCGAGGTTGACTGTCACCTTATTTGGAGAAGGACACTAAGTGGAAATATTACGACAGTGAAGTCTGAGGATCAACTCATAGATATGTTTACAAATGCGTCAAATCGTATCGTCTGACAAGTACTTATTCCAAGCCGAGGTATATGATATGTATAACTTGAGGACCTTGTTGAGAATATTAGTTAGTCCAATTTTGCATGCTGTAATAAGTGCAGCCTCATCTTTTATGTTTATCGTACGCACAAATATGAGTCGAGGGTGAGACAGAGGTATCAAATTCTTCCTCCTCTCACACAATTCTTCCATAATTCTTTCTATCAAAACTAAACTTGACAGGGGGCATTAAATCCTCAAGCAAGCTAAGATCATAAACAAAAAAGAGGGTTTCCAATATTGAGAGGGACAAACAATGAAAACCATATAATTAAGTTACCTGGAAGAGAATCTTAATGAAAATTCGGGAAGAAGAAGTAGTGTCCTCCTCAGTAAGACGTATATATGATAAAACATGCCAGGGAAGAGCATCAGTGCCAAGCAAGTGAGCAAAAAATTTGGCAACATTACGCAACTTATTTGTCTCAAGCCGATGAATCATCGAATATTGCTGGACAAAACATTTCTCGAAATTTTCTTGATGGACCTTGTTGATCATGCAAAATCGCTGCCCCAATAGGCCATAATACCGGAGGTAAGTTCTCTCCTGACTGCAGCATTCCAACAACATAATGCATAATTCCATCTGCATAGATAGGCCAGCTCAAACTCAATAAATTTTCAGGTTTATGTGGAGTAAGCTTGTCAAAACTGCAATTTGAATAAAGGAATAGCAGAACCTAGATGCTTAAGCCACAAAAACAAAAAGAAAATGCAAGGAACATAAAAAGACCACAGTATTTTTTATTAGGAAAATCTAAAAATGTGAGTAGTTAAGTATCAAAAGATATGTCAAATACTACTCACAGTGATTAGATTGTTTGCCCTAATAAGAAGAATCAATGAGATGAAATTTAAATTTCTACAGGACGATGATAAAAGGGTCATTACTATCCCTGCCTTGCGGCAGTCCGCTTCAGGTACGGTGCAGGCCCCAAAGCATGACACTACATATTTTTGAAATATTCTCCTGCCTTCCTATCTATTTTATTCTATACTTCGTTCAAATCATTTTTCCTTAATCCTGCCTTGAACAAAAATATTAATATATAATTCATTTAATGTTTCTTTTTCGATAAACAGTGCAGTTAATGTCTCTTTTTCAACGAATAATGCATTTAGTGTCTCATTTTTTCTTCAAAAGATTTCGCAAAAGCTGTTCTTTAGTCCTTACAACAGCTATGAATTTGGATTGCACAAGGAGTGGCATCTCATCAGTCAGCTGCAACATAAGCCTTTAAGTGAAAGACTTCTAAAAACTTTTCTCGCCCACCTTTTTTTGATATTTCAAATTTGAAATATAAATAATAATAAAATACTATTTGGACCTAATTTTCTGATCTAATCCATTACAACCATTGTATTGATAGTGAGTCCTACCAAATACTGCACCCCGCTGTCAAGCCAATGGTTATGAATCATTAAGTCAGAAGATTAGTAAATCAGGTCTTAGTAGTATTGCTCAAAAACAAACATGCCCTGATAGTGCATTTAGACGTTTCACATTTTCCTTGGTCATAAAAAACAANCCATTGTATTGATAGTGAGTCCTACCAAATACTGCACCCCGCTGTCAAGCCAATGGTTATGAATCATGAAGTCAGCAGATTAGTAAATCAGGTATTAGTAGTATTGCTCAAAAACAAACATGCCCTGATAGTGCATTTAGACGTTTCACATTTTCCTTGGTCATAAAAAACAAAAGACCACAATTTCCAAAGGGTGCTGCACTTTCTAGACCTTTCCCAACCAAGCCCACCCCTTGGAAGAGATCCTTTACCACACAGAGCAATAATGTATGGTCATAGATTTCAGGTTCACCAATTGTAACCTAATAAATTTAAGATATTTCATGCTGAATGCTAATATATCAACTGCCAATGTCAGACATGCATTCACCCAACAAAATCATAGATAAATAGCAGTGTCTGCTAAATTTGCTTTGGTCGGGATCCTTATCTACAAAAGCCCTTGGTTGTAGTGCAAATACAGAAGGAAAAAATTGCAATACATACCTCCTGACCAGGCTCTAGTTTGATCTTCAATAATTTGTGACCAGCTTCCTCAAAATCAACACTCGACATAATGGTCAAATAAATAGTCCTTCGGAGATTCACAAGATTTGTCTCTGTTTCGTCCTTTATTTTCATCGTCTCTTCATCATCTTCATCCGTTTCTTCATCCTCATCATCATCATCATCGGATGCTGCATCAGAATCTGCTTCATCCTCAGATTCCTCACCCAATAGTGTCTTCTTCAATTCTTCATAACGCTTCTCATTCTCCAAAAACTGAGGATCCAGCTTGAAAATATCTGAAATTAGTCAATAAGGAACATTACAATCGAATAAGACCAAGAAGAGAACTACCAAGCAGAGGCAAAAAAGTCATAAACAAAGATAAACCTAATGCGATCTCTGAATCTATTTGATCTGAAAGAGAAACTTCATGTGTTAATTGATCTTCTTGCTCTACAAGGTCCAGTTCTGGTCGAACAGCTGGGTATCCCTGTGCAAGTAAACTTCACATAAGCAATTCCAGTTTTTAGTACTCAAATTGAAAAGACTCAAGGGTTTATGAAAAATAAATGAAACTGCACCTGAAACTTGGCTTTTCTAATTGCAAAAAGGCCTTCTATCAAAAACTGAACTCGTTTATCAATTTCTCCTTCGTGAAGAATTCCGCGAAAACGCTCAAATATACCTGTATAAATTGACAACAAAAAACACAATATCGTCAAACAAAAAGAAAATGAATGCAAAGTGTGGAGATCATGGTAAGCAGCAAATTTTTAGGGCCCACATCTGACAGAAAGAAGATACAGCGTTTGTCATAAACTCAACAGAATAGCAAAACCCCATGAATAGAACCTATTTCATCAATATTTTTTGTGGATCTTGGAGGTTTAGGAGGAGGGAAAGGGGAGACATTATGACATTGCGCTTTATTTGCTATTGTTTGGGTTGTTTGGATGGAAAGAAATACGAGACTTTTTGAAGATTGGGCAGAAGTGATGGAAGGATTATGGGAGAGGATTGATTTTTTAGCTTCTTTATGGGCCTCGGTGACTAAGGAGTTCGAAGATGTCCCTTTATATTGTATCACTTCCAATTGAACAGCTTCCTGCCATTGATTGGGGCGGGTGGTGTTTTCTTTTCTGTTGTTGGCCAGTTTGCTGGTTTGTTTCTTAGGCTGGACTTCTTGTCCAACTTCTTTTTAGATTGTAATGCTTCCTTTGTCTTATTAATAAAATGTTTGTTTCCTATCAAAAAAAAAAAAAACCTATGTGGCAAGAAAAAAATATAAATATAGCAATCACTATGATTGACAAACTTGAGATGGCAGCAATATAGAATTTCACAGATACCTTAACAGTATCAGGAATCTTGTGTCAGATTAGTATCACCTATGAAGCATGGATACTTCGACCAAAATAGCTGTATCCAATATCTATTAGTGGTTGTGGAGGTGTGGGCACTTATTTTCACATTATAAGGCTTGGGTTATGCCAACATAAGTGGCGGACTTGTTGAACTGTTNATTAGTATCACCTATGAAGCATGGATACTTCGACCAAAATAGCTGTATCCAATATCCATTAGTGGTTGTGGAGGTGTGGGCACTTATTTTCACATTATAAGGCTTGGGTTATGCCAACATAAGTGGCAGACTTGTTGAACTGCTGGAGAAGGGGAAGTGGTAGGAGGAGAAGTTTGGAGATTGGGGTAGTGGCTCCCTACTATCTATGTTGGTTCCAGTTCCAAAAATCCCAAGCCACCATATCATAAGCTTTCTCAAACGCAACCTTGAACATAAATCATTCTTTCTTCTTCTCTCTGTTCCCTTCAACAATCTCATTTGCAACAAGCACCACATCCAAGATTGGCCTTTCCTCGAACAAAGGCACCTTAGGAACACGAGATACTCTCATGAAAAACTTCTTGGATTCTCCTATAAAGGACTTTGGCCAAAATTTTATTAAGGATAGAAACTAAACTAATTGGCCGAAAATCTTTAACCAAAGAAGACCTCTCCTTCTTAGGAAAATAAAGGTGGCATGGTAAAAGAGTTAACAACCCCATTCTCAAAGAACTCCTATATAAAAAATTTCCCTTTGTCACAACCCAACACATCTGAAGAATGAGCCAAGTAAAGCCATCCGGACCGAGTATTAATCACCACTTAGCTCAAAGACTGCAAATCTAATTTCATATTCCTTATAAGATCTCTCATGCCATCTAGAAGTACTCTCACCAATAGGACATCAATCCAAACCTTCAACACAATGTCTAGCAATACCCTCAGATGAATTAACTTAGAGAAATAGTTAACAATCTCAGAAATAACACAATTGTCACTACCAATCACATCTCCAGATTCAATCTCAATGCTAATAATGAATTTCTTCTTCTATTTGCCATTATCAACTCTATGAAACCGTTTGGAGCATAGATATCAAGATCATAGACACCCCAAGTGTCCCGCAAACCGACATTGCACAACTGGAATAGAGTGGCTTTGCGATCCACATTTGCCCAAATTCTCAACCCAAAATTGTAATTCAAATCCTAACTCAATCCATGATCCAAGCAATCCCAATATAACCTTGAATGGGTTTTTTTTGGATTTAATGTGATTTGAAATTTTTGGCATAATACGANAATTGTAATTCAAATCCTAACTCAATCCATGATCCAAGCAATCCCAATATAACCTTTAATGGGTTTTTTTTTTGATTTAATGTGATTTGAGATTTTTGGCATAATACAAATATGTAATGGCTAGCTTTATTATTTAAAACCATTAGCCAACACGTCTTGAATTATAATTCGTTTTGGAATTTTATCAAAAATATAAAATGAATATTAGATTTATTATATATCTAAATATATCTAGATAATATTACAATCTAAAAGTTGAATTCTCAACTAATAAAAACACAACGGTCATGATTTATCTAATTTTTATCCACTTTGATCCAATAGTACAAAAACTCATTCCAAAATTTTTTTTACCACTTANATATAAAATGAATATTAGATTTATTATATATCTAAATATATCTAGATAATATTACAGTCTGAAAGTTGAATTCTCAACTAATAAAAACACAACGGTCATGATTTATCTAATTTTTATCCACTTTGATCCAATAATACAAAAACTCATTCCAAAATTTTTTTTACCACTTAAAAATATTAACTCAATCAACACACTCTCCAATGTGAGACAAACTCACTAATCCACACTTACTTCTCTCTCTTCTCTCTCTCTCTTATTTTCTCTGTATTCACTTTAATTTTAATCTACATAATTAAAGAAAAGAAAAAAAATTGTTATTTATAATGTAAATATTACAAGATCAATATTCGATTTTTTGTATTATAAAATGTCTTCTCACATGGGGTTGTTGGTAATAGTTGTATAAGTATCTTATCATTGAGNTCACTTTAATTTTAATCTACATAATTAAAGAAAAGAAAAAAAATTGTTATTTATAACGTAAATATTACAAGATCAGTACTCGATTTTTTGTATTATAAAATGTCTTCTCACATGGGGTTGTTGGTAATAGTTGTATAAGTATCTTATCATTGCGAAAGTGATTCAGATAACCGTTACAAAACAAACCACGATCCAAAGTAGCATACTAACTCTACCTTGATCGCATCATGTCCTACACAATAAAACAAACGAGGATCAAATAATTAAATTATTTTAGATTTTTTGTCCTATCACTCAATTCTCTCACCTTTTCATACTCTTCTCTCTATCTCTCTCTTCACACACAACTGGCCCATTCGACACTTTCATTTTTTTATCTTCTCACACACAACAACAGTGTTCTTTGCAACCAATAAAATGATGACAACTCATCAATTGATCAAGAAAACAAGTAAAACTATTCCCACAACAGTAGCACCAGTGAACAATCGACCAATATCCACCTCTTCACTTCTCCTCTCTCCAATCAAAAAAACAAAAAACACAAATTTTTTGCCCCATTTAGAAGCAATCACACTTTTGGCCTAGATTAGATTGAAATTTTTTTTGCAAACAACACAATGTGGGCATAACATCCCGAAAGAATAGATGTCTCAGCTGTGCAAAATAATCATTTCTCTTCTCTACTTNTTGCAAACAACACAATGTGGGCATAACATCCCGAAAGAATAGATGTCTCAGCTGTGCAAAATAATCATTTCTCTTCTCTACTTTTTGACCCAAATCATGGAACAAATCTATGAAAATTTGTTCTTCTCTCTCTCTCTCTCTCTTTTTGTCCTTCCCTAAAGATAGATTGGTGAGGGATGAGGCATGGCCTCTATTTGCTCTCAATATTTTCTCCTATATATGAGAGAGAAGTTGCCATTAGTAATGACGAGAAATTTGGAAACCATGGGATGACATCGACTATGAAATACACAAACCCACCACGTTCAACAACCAAATCCCCCAAAATCCACCACCACCCTCACATACCACCGCCACCCCCACTGCCATGGAACCTCTATGTCACGCCCCAAATTTAACAAAAACACGAATAAAAAAAATTATTTTGTTTATTCCAAAAACACATGTCGGTTTGTTGTAAAAACATCTAAAAACTTATCTCTTTAGTTTAAATAAATCTTTTTTTAAAAATCGAGCATTTAGATAATTGGTGAGAGCATTAAACATAATAATTATACCTAACTAGTCATTTGTATCATATAAATCATACATCCTTTCGCATGATATCCACAAATAAGTCATTATCGTTCAACACCGGAGACACAAATGGAGGCCTACGAAGTCCTCCCAAACCCAAGTTATAATTTAATTATCCAAAATTTTTCATCATGAACATAATATACAAAATATCTAAAATCTTTATAAGTAAACCATTTAAAAGGTCCCAATCTATAAATATTCTCTCAAATTAACCAAGATATAAATCACTTACAAATCCTCAATAATATATATCATCGTACGTTGTTGTTTATATACTCTAACTAAATATATAAAAATCATAACTATCTTCTATCTCGATATTCTTACTATGCAGTCCACCAACATATGTCCATAACTGAAAATATTAAAAGATACGCGTGAACAACCACACACTCAGTAGAATAATCCTTTTCTCAAGCATATACAATGTTTTAAATACCAACATTTCACAATCATAATTATAGGTAATGAAATAATTTATCAATAAGTTTAAGTACTCGATAAGTAGTAAACATTTTTAAAAATACACTACGTACTATAACCATTCATCCCGCCAGACTCACCATTATTGATTTCTCCATCCAAAATAGGTTAGTTTAACAGACAAAGCTCCCTAAAAACAGCAATATCTCCATACTTAAATACTGCAGATTTTGCTCAATAATTTTGACATTCACCAAATCTCCTAACAAGACAGTATCATGCAAGACAATAGGTAGGTGAATAACGTTTTTGTGACAAATCCAATTTCAGAAAATATTGGGATTCACAAGACAAGGATGTAGACCAAAGTTACCTAGATCGTAGGTCGCTTGAGCACGTGGTACGATAGGGATAGGCTTAACTAGTAAGTTATTTTGGGCAGTAATTCATTTTAGAACTCTTATCTAGATTATTTTTACTACTATACCAATGTTATTTAAGGCGTAAAGCGAATCGAAGCAAACCGGTCTCCCGAGGGCCTAGGCAAGAAGCGAAGCAAGCGCTTCATTGAAGCAAAGCGAACAATATAAGAAATAAGCATATATTTTAGTTTCATACTTTGATTACTCCTAAATATTCAAATTTTAACTTTACAAATATCAAATATTTAAATGCAATCAAAATAATAAACATCAACATATTTTAAATAGACAAGATATTAAATATTGAACATTATTGTATTCTAAAAATAATCAATTGACATAATCACGTCATCTAAATATAAAGTTAGCAAATGTGGGTTCGACTTCCACCGTAATTGATTAATATCACCACCAAATAAAGCATTCATAAATTGATTAATTAAATAGAGCATATAGCAAATTGATTAATTAATTTGATTAACCAAGCAAATTGATTAACATGAGCAATCACATAAATACAAAGCATTCAACATTATCTAATCATAATAAGACAAATTGTCATATGATACTGTTACACGAATCAATCAATTTATTTTATACATATATTTATATAACATCATCTCTGCTAGCATTTGGTTGTTAATGTTAAAGAAGAAGAAGGAAGAGGAGGAGGAGGAGAAAATAAAAAAAACGCTTTTCTCGCCTGGCTCNGTCTCCCGAGGGCCTAGGCAAGAAGCGAAGCAAGCGCTTCATTGAAGCAAAGCGAACAATATAAGAAATAAGCATATATTTTAGTTTCATACTTTGATTACTCCTAAATATTCAAATTTTAACTTTACAAATATCAAATATTTAAATGCAATCAAAATAATAAACATCAACATATTTTAAATAGACAAGATATTAAATATTGAACATTATTGTATTCTAAAAATAATCAATTGACATAATCACGTCATCTAAATATAAAGTTAGCAAATGTGGGTTCGACTTCCACCGTAATTGATTAATATCACCACCAAACAAAGCACTCATAAATTGATTAATTAAATAGAGCATATAGCAAATTGATTAATTAATTTGATTAACCAAGCAAATTGATTAACATGAGCAATCAAATAAATACAAAGCATTCAACATTATCTAATCATAATAAGACAAATTGTCATATGATACTGTTACACGAATCAATCAATTTATTTTATACATATATATATATATAACATCATCTCTGCTAGCGTTTGGTTGTTAATGTTAAAAAAGAAGAAGGAAGAGGAGGAGGAGGAGAAAATAAAAAAACGCTTTTCTCGCCTGGCTCGCTTCGTCGCCTAAGCTCGTTTTTTCCTCGCTTCGTCGCCTAAGCTCGTTTTTTCCTCGCTTCGTCGCCTAAGCTCGTTTTTTCCTCGCTTCGCCTTGAATGTCCAAGGTAACCAAGGCTCGTTTCACTTCGCTTCACACCTAAGCTCGCTTTTCACAACGCTGTACTATACAATATTATATGTTATAGAACATCCGTAACCAAAAAGTCAGTTACCATTTATCTTATATTTGTCCTTGATTTTCTATTATCTAAAATAATTAATAATTATAAATCTATATACATGTAGTCAATTAATATGTATTTTATGTTTGTGCTACATATTCGAATGCGAATTGATTTAGTGTTAGTATTACAATTTAGAGTCGTACATTTTGGTGATCTGTATCGTGAACCCACCCTGTTTGGGATTGATGTACCTAGATTGTGAGTTGTTATGGGTTTAATAAATTCTCTGATAACCAAGATATACACACGGGGGATAAGCTTGATGAAAGAGATACGAAAAAGGCTTTGAAATCATGAAATGTTGAGACTCACAATAACATTCCCCACCCCTTTTCCAAACCGACCACCCCAACATTAACTCCACAATTTGACTCAGTAAGGCACTGAATAAAGGTACAAGAATCTGCAAAAGAAGATTGAGAATCAAAACTCCACCGGTGAAACTTACCAATCAACCAAATCCACAATCTTTTTTTCAAACAAATTTCCTAGAATTCTATGGGAAAAATAAAGTGTCTTTGAATACCTGAACCTGTCCCTCTAAATCTACATCAAAGAACTTACCAAAATCTTTGAATCTAAGAAAGTCAATGAATCCAAAATCTCCTTTGAAACCGACCCAAACTCATTCGTTTCATCTAGCCATTAGAAACTTTATTCACATAAAAATACCTTGATGAATATCTATTACCCTAGTAAACCTTTGAAAATGGGTAGCTCTCTCCTAGAACACTCCTCAAAATCCACTTAAATGGCTTAATTAGAGATCACATAACTTTTGCCTTTATCTCAATGTTTTTAAAACCCTTTGGTCACTAAGTTCCCTTGCCCTCCAATCTACATCAAAGAACTTACCAAAATCTTTAAATCCGAGATAGTCAATGAATGTGAAATCTTCTCTGAATCCAACCCAAACTCATTCAATTCGTCTAACCATTAGAAACTTTATTCACATAAAAATAACTTGATCAATATCTATCACCCTAGTAAACCTTTGAAAAAGGGTAGCTCTCTCCTAGAACACAACTCAAAATCTACTTCAACAGATTAATTAGAGATCACATAACTTTTGCCTTTATCTCNAGTCGTACATTTTGGTGATCTGTATCGTGAACCCACCCTGTTTGGGATTGATGTACCTAGATTGTGAGTTGTTATGGGTTTAATAAATTCTCTGATAACCAAGATATACACACGGGGGATAAGCTTGATGAAAGAGATACGAAAAAGGCTTTGAAATCATGAAATGTTGAGACTCACAATAACATTCCCCACCCCTTTTCCAAACCGACCACCCCAACATTAACTCCACAATTTGACTCAGTAAGGCACTGAATAAAGGTACAAGAATCTGCAAAAGAAGATTGAGAATCAAAACTCCACCGGTGAAACTTACCAATCAACCAAATCCACAATCTTTTTTTCAAACAAATTTCCTAGAATTCTATGGGAAAAATAAAGTGTCTTTGAATACCTGAACCTGTCCCTCTAAATCTACATCAAAGAACTTACCAAAATCTTTGAATCTAAGAAAGTCAATGAATCCAAAATCTCCTTTGAAACCGACCCAAACTCATTCGTTTCATCTAGCCATTAGAAACTTTATTCACATAAAAATACCTTGATGAATATCTATTACCCTAGTAAACCTTTGAAAATGGGTAGCTCTCTCCTAGAACACTCCTCAAAATCCACTTAAATGGCTTAATTAGAGATCACATAACTTTTGCCTTTATCTCAATGTTTTTAAAACCCTTTGGTCACTAAGTTCCCTTGCCCTCCAATCTACATCAAAGAACTTACCAAAATCTTTAAATCCGAGATAGTCAATGAATGTGAAATCTTCTCTGAATCCAACCCAAACTCATTCAATTCGTCTAACCATTAGAAACTTTATTCACATAAAAATAACTTGATCAATATCTATCACCCTAGTAAACCTTTGAAAAAGGGTAGCTCTCTCCTAGAACACAACTCAAAATCTACTTCAACAGATTAATTAGAGATCACATAACTTTTGCCTTTATCTCAATTTTTTTAAAACCCTTTGGTCACTAAGTTCCCTTGGCATATTCCTTCACCGCCATCTTGCACATTTTGTTTGACTACAGCATGTCTCACTTCCCTCGGAAAAATCTCCCCAATTGTCATATAGATTTCCCCTCACATTAAATAATAGGTTTTTGATGGTGTTCCAGCAATGAATCTCTCAAAGTAAGATGGATATGTGCCTGTGGATTAGCTTCCCTGATGAATACTGTTAAATGGAGGTGCTCAAAAGGTTCCCATTCACAAATTACACCAAAAAAGGAGAAAAACAGCCCTATTACAATAAAAGAACAAGGTAAACAACCAAACATTTCATAGCACCACAATTCAGATAAATAGATAGATAGAAAAACCATAACACGTAACAAATATCTGAGACTTATTGTGCACTCACCATGTAAGCCTCGGGGACAGAGATCTTGAAGCATTGATCCACATTCAGTAACGAAACCAACTGCAACTTCCACACTATCATCAGTGGGATTCTCTAAGAGAATCGTTAGTAGCTCTAGAGCAATAAGCTCATGAACCACCTGCTGATTTACAAGATGGGCAATGAATTTTACAACTGCCAGCAATTGTGGCTGTCAAACACACAATACCCAACAAATAAATTCAATCAAAACCAAATGAAAAACAATATGAACATGTAACGACAAAAGGGTAGTTGGGAACTATGAACAAACACCTTGTCATTCCGTTTATAGGCTCTTTGTAGCTGCAAAATAATCCTCCTAAGCAGAAGATCTCCTACTTCAGGGAATTTGGTATTCACAACAGCAACCAAAGCTGCAAATACATCGGTGAAACCAGGAGAAGCCATCTGGGACTTCATACAAGACCGACAAAAGAGACCCCTTCCACGAATCAGATTCTCAGCAAACAGCTCCGGAATGATGTTCTTGACATTCATAGCATTCACCTTATTGACAAGCCCATTTATACTCTTCCTCAGAGCATCCCAAGTCATGCGCTGGTACTCCACACTGCTCTTGTCTTGGATTTCCTTCATCATCCGTGCCAATTTGAATGGCGGAATATAAACTCCCCCACTCCTCCCCAAATTCGCCATAGTCATATTCTTCAAATTCCCTTCTTCCACTTTTTGCGACTTGGGATCTTCAGTCACCTTCCCTTCCGATCTGGACCTCATAGCCGGCTCAACAGTAGAGTCAAAAAAGCATGGGCATTAGGCCCTACATATTAAAAAGGCCCCAAATTTTAGAGTTCAATAATGACATATAGATCAAAAATTAAAACTCATTATAATTCAACTTAAGAAAAAAACTTCTGAAAGTAAGGGTGTTCAGCCGACCCAACAGATAGGAATTATGGTATTTCATCGTTTTATCCGATGCTTTGCGGATGGCCAATTTCTTGACCGACCCTACCCGATCGAGAGTAATATGTAGGCCAAATTCCATCCAAAACAATCGGCTAGAAAATTGGGTAAAACACATATTTGCAATTTCTGTTAAACACATTTGCAATCGGATAAAACACATGTTTGCAGAGACAGAAAATCACAATACAGACAACAGAAAACAGAAGCAGAAACAGACACAGAAAACAGAAGCGGAAGAAGAAGCAGAAACAGAATACAGAAGCAGAATCAGAAGAACAGAAGAAGAAGCAGAAATAGAAATCGGAAACATAAGCAGAAACAGATTCACTCTAGCAACAAAGCAGCAATAATAAACAGCAACAAAGCGGCAAAAAATTATATAGATCAAAGATCAAATAAATCTCAACATACAGTGATACAGAGAAGCACAAACACATCAAAATTTTCTAAAAAAAGAATAACTAATTAATCTCATATCAAGACTTAGGAAACACAAATAGACTACTCATCACTTCTCCCAATTCCAGATATTGTTGTAATCATTTTCTCATCATATGATTTCAATTTCAGAAAATCAAAAGGAATTAAGACTTACACATACTGCCATAGAGAGAGTCAGAGAGGATAGGAGAGCGAGAGAGAGAGAGAGAACCTGGCTTGTGGCTTCGAAGAGAAGGCGGCGAGAGCGGCTAGAGTCTCTGAGACTCGAAGAGGAGGAGGCGCTAGGGATCGATCAACCGAGAGAAGCAGAAAGAGGCGAGAATCCGTGAGACTCGAAAAGGCGGCCCACGGATTTTAGAGTTTTTTGTGCACACATTAACAAATGGAAAAAATTACATTTCAGACCCCTCAAAACTTGTCACTTAATCACTCATACCCCTAATATTTAAAATATTATACACAAATCCTTTAAAATTTGTACGCGCGTAACATAACAGTTAGACTCACGTAACAGTTAGACTCACAACAAATTAATTTATAACTCTTTCAAATAATAAAAACATACTAGGGTTAATTGTAAATAATAATTAGTCGCATTTAAGATAAAAAAATTTAATTATTATTTCTTTGTTAATTTTATGTATATCGATTTTTAATCTTCTACGTTTAAAAAGTATTAAATATAATTTTAATAAATATAAATTTACGAACTTTTACGATCTATTAAAAAAAATTAAAACATACTAATGTGTAAAAAAAATTTTTAACTTAATCCCTTATCACAGCACAAAAGAAGTGGGCCCATTGAAGTGAATAAAAGATAACTCCAAATTCAAAAAAATTTTGAAGCTTTGACTTTCTTCTCCGATTGTTCGTCTTACATTGCCGCCCCATTTCTCAAATTTTGAGTCAAATTATAATAATTAGTTTCACATTGTCAATATTAAAGACGTGCATTCTAGAATGTTTATGGACATTTTTTGTATAATACATGACAGATGTCTAAATTTAGGATAATACGAAATCAATTTTAGTAGATAAGAGAATGATGTAAAAAACTCAACAGCTGATAGGACAAAGTTAGATCAATGTTATGGTGAATTATACTTTAATTACCCCAATGATGACATTTTTCTCATATTATTCTCACAGTTATCATATTTTTCACATCACATCTTCAACCATATTATTAGTCTCACATTGCCCCAAGGACTAATGTCTGCCATAAATTTGACTAAAGTTATTTCATTTTGTCCTCCAAATTTTGTGGATTTGTTTCATTTTGTCTCACTTTGTCCCTACATGTTATCCAAAAGATTATGGACATTTGTATTCGTAGCAATGTGAATTTAATTCAAGTAATTGTGGGGATAATGTGAAGAAATCAATAGTTCAAGGGGAGTCAAAATGTAATTTGTCCTCTAATTTTTCATTTTCTAAGATTTCACGGGTAGCTATCAGAGAATATGGTTTTTGTATTTTAAATTGCATTTCGTAACAAAAGAACTTGTAACTGCCACAAATCATCCACGTTTCAAAACCGCAATGGAAATACTATTTTCCTACTTTGTATTGAACTTTGGTGGTATGTGCATGCTCTTAAAAACTTTCAAAAGAAAAAAAAGTGGGGCAAAATGGCTACATTTCTAATTAATTAAGGAATGTTTTAGACATGACCTGATGCCGGGTCTGTTCACTTTTGCAGTAGTTTGTTTGTAGAAATTTGATTTAACTAAAAAAGCTGGCCAACGCTCGCACCATTTATGATATATTTATTACTATATGTACTAGGGTGCACTCCATGCTATCTACGAAATTTACAAGGATAAATTTAATTTACACCCCATAAAATCTAGTTGATGGGCCTCTTCAAATAAAAGATAGATCAGGTGATACGTGTCTTCGGCGCCGAAAAACACTCATTGACTCTGTCGAGGCCATGTGTCCTTTACCCCCTCTGTAAGATATGTCCCTCGGCGTCGAGGTGCATTAATGCCCTTGGCAACGAGCGCCCCTCGGCTCTGAGTGTACCTCCACCCTGAGGCAGGCATATGTCCTCGGCTCCAGAGATATCTACTGGAGCTCTGATTTGCCACGTGTCTCCTACTCATGTAGAGCCTACTGAGTTGACAGTTGACTAGTCATAACTAAAATAGGGATGATGATGGTGCTCTGCACAAAAGGATCAGGATGGCAGAACCAACAAGACACTCCATCAACAGGAGATCGACACGTGGCATGAGGGTACGGGATCAGGGGGTAAGAAGACAGAACTACCCCTACTAATATGCAACTATCAGAGACAGGCATTTAATGAATCATCAGTTGATAAGACGTCTACCATGGCCTAATAAGCCGAGGAGTAAAAATATTAAATACTAAGGGATCCAAGCATTTAATGTCTCTACATTGAAGAAAGAGCATTAAGTGCTCGTCCGGTCGAGCAATCAATACTGGGACATTCCCTATGAAAAGTAGGAGGCACACTATCCCATCTCTGAGGACTACCTATTGCCTAGACTACCAGTAATGATGAGTCTTTCAAGGTATAAAATAGTCCTCAAAAATGCATTACAAAGGTACGCAAAATTACCTCTCAAGAGCCATAATCGTATTTTCTTCTTCCCCTCTCTCAAAGAACTAACTTGATCGTCGGAGGGGATACGCCAAAAAATTCTCTAACGCCCTCCTAACCTATTTTCTGTGTTCTAGGAATCCCTTGTAAGCCTCCAGAACCAGTTCAGCGGTCCTAGGAACAATTCATCATCACTCCTTAGGCCACCTTTGGTCCTCTCAACTCATTCCTTGCTGTCGGATCCACCGTCCTCATGGGTTGGAGCTCACCGTGGGAGAGATCTGTTTCCGTTTCATCTATTGTGCGAAAAATGCCCCGCACAATCTGGCGTCGTCTGTGAAAAATGACTAGATTTTCTAAAAAATAGTGACCATGGTGAATACTCGACAAAAGGGGAAGAGTCCTTAGCAAAGGAATACCGATTTACCAACCCCCCTTATTCAAAAACAAGGAACTACGTCGAAAGTCCCAACAAAGGACACCTTTCATACAAGGGAGCAAATTCATCAAACTAGTATGGGTATCGAGTCTGGAGGGTCTGCTCCACTGGCCCATCAACTAGTTGAGGTGATTGAAGAGAAGTTTGGGGACCAGTTACGGCAACTGGAGAAGGACAACGTGAATATCCTCAATCGCCTCGACGAGTTTGCAGCCTCCGGCGGAGGATTGCAAAATTTGGTCAGGTCCCGAGAGCCTTCCATTAGGGAAGTATAACCTGAGGATCTGAGAAATCACTTGAGCAATAGGGCAGGAAGCTCCAAGGATCCAAAACGCCCAAGGGATAGCTCTTAGAGATTCCTGCCGAGGAGGGATCAACCCTCTCTGTTCGGCACGAGAAGAGGGATCGCACTATCAGGCACCAAGCACACAAAAATGTGTTCCTCAAGCAAGGAGACCTCAGAGCTTAGCTGGACTCCACGAAAAGAAACAAGACCCCGCAGGAGGACGATACCGACGATGAAGCCATCCAATCACCTTTCACAAAGAACATAACGGAGATGGAGGTACTCAAGAAGTTTACAGTGCCAAGGTTCAAGGTCTATGACGGATGATCCAATCCAGAAGCCCACCTTAGGCAGTACAAACAAATGATGTTCCTATACCACTCGGATTACCGGTTACTATGTCGGGTATTCTCAATGAGCCTAGGGGACTCCGCCATGAAGTGGTTCGAAACCTTTCCGCCCAATAACATAGGGTCTTGGAAGGAGCTCACTAGATAATTTTTCGCCCAGTTCATCATGGGAAATAGGTGACTAAAAAATGTTGGATCACTGTTGAACTTGAGGCAGAAGGAAGGGGAGACCCTTCGCCAATATACAACTTGCTATTGGGAGGAGGTGAACGAGGTAGAGGGATGTTCCGAAGTCATGGCAGTAGCCTTTTTCAAGCTCGGCCTCTCTCGTGACACCGATCTCTATCGATCCTTGACAAAGAAAATTCCGGCCAATATGGGAAAGCTAATGGTCCGGATAAATAAGTATTCTTGAATTGAGGACGAGATGGTGGGGGGCAAGGGAAAAACTTTGGACACCTCACTGAAGATTGCAGGGTGTACAAGTATTTCCTGGAGAAGTTGGTCCAGGACGGGCATTTGAAAGAATACATCGAAACAACGCCGGAGGAGATCCGTAGCGCTAAGGACCAAGTTGTCTTCTAAGACAATGTAATCTACGTTATCCATGTCTGCCCTCTGGAATGTCTGACATCCAAACTGCTCAGATCAGATCTCAAGAGGATAGCCTTCACAAGAAAGGTGGACGAGGCGGATGGGGGCCAACCAAGCAAAAGG